CTAGTTTCATAACTGTCCTACTCCCCGATAAGCACAGATAGGAGTGTGGGCCTGGTGTTATTCTTGTTTAGTTTTTGCAGTATTTTCAGAATGTTTACATGCATCATGAGTTGTTCAGTTCATCTCAGCAGGTCCAGCTTTGAAACACCCAATGTTATCTATATCTAGGTGTTGCCTAGTTTACATTTTCTTGAGAAGATGATGATGACTTTCTAGAAGTAACCCTGTTAATTTTCAAGTAATCCTATGCACTGATTTAGGGATATTAGATATTGAACTCCCAGATCTTCATGGCCCAACCCACCCTCAAGCTGTGCAGTCCTTGTGAGCCACTAACACTTGGCGCATCATCACAGCTGCCTCACATTCATCAGAGAAAGTTCATCTAGAAAATGATTCTCCTGTCCCCTTTGGTAGCCGCAGAGCCAGATTAGGGGAAGGCCAGAGGACACTTGCCTCAAGTGCAAAATATATAGTCACACCAAGAAATTGAGAAGATAAATCATGTTTTCAATTAAATTTGATTGATATACCACTTATTTATGTAACTCTGTAGTTTTGGGAACACAGCTGGACATGTGCACACCCTCCAGTCTCCCACCACTGAAGCCTTGGTCCATTGCCCTATCACCTTTCCCCCTCCACCCTGCTGTCCCTCTGCAGATAACCATCATATTTTTCGTATTCTAAGAGTTGAGATAAAAATTTAATGCAAGAATTTAAGAATCAAAATTAAAGTATTTATGGTCAACACTTCCACACTTCAGATAATGACAGGTTGCTGTTTGCTTTGCACCCTTGCTTTATTGTGTGCTGGTTGAGTCCGAGTCCTTCCCATTCACACACACACACACACACAACTCCCCCACCTCCCCCCCCCCAGCCCATGGGCCCCCAGGCAGCCTTGTGAGGGCTGACAATGGTATGCCAACAGAGTGGGCCTGCAAGGGTTGATGGGCAAACACAGTTTGGTTTATAGAACTATTTCTAACCTTCCTAGTTGGTTCAAACTATGGAATAATATTTTAAAAGCTACCAATAGAATTATGTATTTTTCCTTTTGTGTTCAGGCTTCAATACGGCAATAGGAAGCGGCAATGGTTTGAAGTCTTCTGTCTCTACTTTGGCAATATGTGTGAAAATGTCTGTGATTGTATATACAGCAGTTTATAAACTGTGTAACACGTGCCCAGTTTTGTCTCATAGATGTGTACATCTACCTGATACACACATAGATAAGTAGATACATCAATCATCAAGCAGACCATAAACATCTATCTCTACAATTTAAAATGTTTAATTCTGTGTTATAGATCATCAATAATTTTTATCTTGTTTTAAATCTATACTTTCTACCTTGCTACAATAAAATGGCATTAGTTGAGTAAATAAACAATACAATCATTTTAAGAATTTTGTGTAAATCCCATGTTTCTACTGACTGATTATATATGATGTGATGCTAACCAGCAACATTCCTCTTTGTAAAGAAGCACCTAGCTTCTTCAAACATGTACTAGGGTACTATCTGTGACACTAAGCATGCTGTAATTGCCAACAATTACACATGCTTGCAAAATGAAGTAAACAGTCCGTAGAAAAATGTAGATTAAAAATTCCTTGCTATATTAATAGCATTCTACAAGAGAATGTAATGGCTCACCTTCGCACAGCTATCAACTTGTCCTCACTACTGATGACTGAAATTCTCTTTAGGAAGAATGTACAAAATTATAATTCTAAAGAAGTAAATATGTGAAGAAGGTGGGTGATGACCCTGTACACATGATAGGCAGGCAAGAGTTTGAATCTGCTAGGAAGGAATGTTAGGTGAGTTCTTTTTTTAAGAAAGAAAGTCCACATTTCTAATGCTCATTACCTAATATCTAGCTAGAAGGGTCACCAATCATTACATTAATTTTATAGGCAGCTTAATAGAAGTTGTGTTTCCATGACAACAGACAGTGTGTGGGAAGGTTAAGAAAGTTAATAGAATTTGTGATGATCTCAGTAATGCCCCATGGATATCATTCATTAATCTGATTTCCCTTTGCTCCAGCTTCCACACCAGCCACAGAACTGGTTTTCTTAGCACTATATGATGCTGAAGAACATGCACTTTTGAGAGCTGCTAAATGCCTTTTCCCTAGGAAGTAGAAATAGAGTTTGGTAATCCCTCTATATTATCTGGTGAGCTGAATATGGAAAGAGACCACTGCAAAAGAACATTAAATCACCTCAAACTGACCAAGGAAAGTGAGAGTTTGGTTAGAGAAGCAGACACAAGTTTTATTCTCATTTTTTTCTGAATCCACACCAATAGGTTTGTTCATGAATTAAATTCTATATGAGGAAAAAAGAACCAGGTTGCTCGTTTGATTTCTATTTTAGAAACCCCTTCATCTTCAAAGAGATTCAAATTGTATTACATCATAACTGAACATTTTGGACCCAAATAAGTATTATAGGTCCATTTAGAATCAGTCAAAAGCTTTAGTTCATACAGACTAGGCCATGGTTTTGCTCTTTATGGGTTTGGAGATCAGATAATGTTCTTATCACCATTTAAAAGAATCACCTTTCAGTGCTGAAGACTTTTTACATGCCCTTCACCTGGTTTTAATTTTTTTTAAAGTAATCCGTGTGTAGATATTTTAGAATATAAAGATCTTGTTACATTCTAAACAGAATTTATATCTTTTCTGTCTTGACTGATATACATTTCCTGTATCTCTCTGAATTTGTGTGTGTTGTGCCTAAGTTTGAATTACTGTGTTGTTTCTGTATGAGGGTGGCTTTTATCTTTGGCATGTTTTTCAGGATCATTATAAGCCTCTCTTATGTATCCTTTCTCCTTTTAAAATTCTATTGAGGGGCCCTCCCTGGTGGCTCAGGGGGTTAAAGCACTACACTAAGAAGCTAAAGTCACTTTGCATGACTTCAATTCCCGCCTGCGGAAGGAGATCCACATGGTGCAGCAGAACTGTCCTGACCCGCCCACTGCTCCCCTCAGCAGTGTACTTCATCCATCTGCCTGTTCTGTACCCCACTCTGTCTCTGGTGAATCCTCTCACCCTCCGCATCTCTGGCCTGTACCCTAGTTTTATATGAATAAATAAATAAAATCTTTAAAAAAAATTCTATTGAGGAACCTAAACTTTATAAACTAACTAAAAATAGTCACAATGAACAAAACCCCAACTATGACATAACTTGTAAAGCTGATCAATAAACAATGGATACTAACAAGGAATTACTCATATGCTATTCTGAAATTATGACTATGGATTCAATGGCATTTAGAATTATACCTTGAGGAAACTGAACTGTGTCAAGTTATAGGGATGTTGCTTTAAGATATAGACGTGGAAGAGAAATCAATGCATCTATCTATCCTACCAAAAAAAAAAAAACAAAAAAAACAAAAAATAAAACTCAGAGGCAAAAACAAATTCCTTAAACAAAACACTGCCTATATGGCTCCTACTCTTTTCCATCACAATATCCCACATGAGACCCTAATCCAATCATGATTGAGATGGAAATGGAGATACTTGCTCCAAAATTTGTGTAAATGACTCCAACTTGGAACTACATCAAACTCATAAATTATTTTAATATAATTTTGATGCTTTTTGAATTTTTTCTTTGTGGGCACTTTTTTTTTTTAATTTCCCAATAAAAATTCCACTGATGTCAATAACAATAAAAGATCATTTGACCCAGTGAGGACACATCTTTAAGGTGACATCAGTTTTCTTCAAGCCCTGATGAAGAAGAGCTGGGTAGTTACCATGGAGTAGGTTGTACCTCTCAAGAACACTTCTGTGATCTTCAAATGTTGAAGACTTGTACCCAATTTTCTCTTCCTTGTTAGGAAATACTACAGGCAGAAAGGGAAGCTGAAAGAATTCACTGAGCCTGCTTGCATGGGCTGGGAACTCTAGGCAGGGCAGAGTATGACTTTTTGGAACTTGCACCAACATTAATTTAGGAAAGTTAAGAGGGGAAAAGGACAGCATCAGACACATTACAATTTAGGGACTTTGCTTGGTCTTGAATGGGTGTTATTTTGTAATATTGGGTACTTGGAATACAGGAGCTGGAAAGCCATCTGAAAAGGAATGGCAACATACGAGTTAAATGAACACCTTTTCTTTATATAGTATCAACACCAACAGCAATCATGATTACAGCTAAGCAAGAATCCAATAGTCATTTTATGTAGGAAAACATTCAAGAGAAATTAAGAAACTATGAGATATAATGGCCCAGATCACTACATGGGTTAAAATAAATATCTACACAGAAATCTGGGGGTTCCTAAGTTATACATGTCTCATTAACTTAGAAAAACCTAAAATAATCTTCCATTGGCTAACATATACTTTTCCTGAGTCATGCAAACACCCTGAGGTTATTTTAATAAAAAACAAGGATTATTGCTTGCTATGGATTGAATCATACCTGATTTCCCAAATTCCTGTGTTGAAATTTTAACTTATTAGAAGCTGGACAGAGGTAATGAAGTTAAGGTGAGCTCATAAGCATGGGCCCTTCACCAATAAGTCTGTCACCTTTCACAAAGGAGAAATTAGTGGTAATGTGAAGATATCATTGGCAATGTGAAGAGACATAGGAGGATGTCCATTTATGAGCTGAGTAGGACATTTTGGAATAAATTGTTTGTTCATAGCCCTCGGAAAAAATCAACCTTACCAACAGCTTGACTTCTCACTTGTAGTCCAGCATTGTGAGATGATTATTTTTTTCTTAAAGTAGTTGTCTGTGTACTTTGTTCCCAATGGTAATATTGCACCCAGCAATGCCATAAAGGATGGAAGCCACTGGTCCTGACTGGAGCTTTTAACTGCACCTACCATTTTCTCATCAAGGCTGTGGGTGTCATACTGGGAAGCTAGAAAGAAGATGACTAGAAGATATCAGTGTGTGAAATCAACTCATGAGGAGGTGGAACAGAAACACAGAGCCACTGGAACTTGATTACTCTCATGATTTATTAATATTCAGATTGAAAAAGGAGCCTCAGAGCCGCAAGTTACGCTAATTGGCACATTTGCTTTATTTATTTATTTATGTATTTATGTATTTATTTATTTTCAAAACAAACTGGGTTTTTGATTTTTTTCCTTTTTGTTCATTCCATCACATTGAAAAGGAGGAAAAGAAAAATGGTTTTGAATTCACTTGATATTTTGGACTCCTCAGATGAACGGAACATTGCACACACACTTGGAACAGAGAGAGAGAGAGGAAAGTGGACTCCCACAGGGCCACACGCACCAGATCAAAAAACTTGGATACAGTGCAAGAATTTCCCAAAATGATTGGATCATCATTACCAAAAACTCGCCATAACAACACCAAGAAACAAAAATGTTTAAGCCACACTGTTTGACTTGGGATCTTTCCTGCTTTTTTTTTTTTTTAAATGTTTGCCACACAGAGAGAAAGAGGGCTAGCAGGTGGGAGAGGACAGACTCACAGACGTGAGCAGGACAGGAAGGGAAACTTCAGAGTGGAGTTGAGAAGAGGGTGGGGAGACAGGGTTCAGGAGAGGGGAGGGGAGGGACGTGGAAAGCCATTTCTTAAAGTTCAGGCATGTTCTTGGTCCGCCTCACGATCTTCTCCTTTACCCTCATCCTGCCGGGCACTTTCCTTAGGTTTGGTTTCATCTACAGCATCTGAGTGTAAAAAGAAAGAAGAGGTGCAGAGAAAAATGAGAGTTAGTATTTTGTCTCATCTGTTCATATGACAATGCAATGCATTTCTTCTTTGCATTGCCATTTCATGAAAAGCAGAGATTATTGCTATTCCATAATACAATTTCCACATTCAGAAGAGTTTATCTCCGACAGGTGGTCCGTGACATATATGGAAGAACTCAGAAGCAGAGATATTTATTAGGGTGAAGGAGTGCTTAGAAATTACTGTGGGTTTTTAGCCTCAAGACTGCAATGAAGCTATGGACACACAGGCTCTGCAAGAAGAGAATCTACAACTATCTTTTGTCTCTTCTCCACCAACCAATTGTGGCAGATCATTGATCATCCATTCTAGCCCCTCATCTATCATTTCTCGTAATATAATGACTAGAAAGTGAAATGCTTGAATTTCCAGTTCCCCTTGAGTTAGGACCCTTCATGTAACACAGCAGTGGCCAATTAGCTAGAGACAGACCCCAGTTGGGAGGCCTTTGCCCTTTATCTTCTCCTATTTCTGATGATTGAGGCTTCCAACTATCCCTGGCAGTGTAGCAACTACCTTCTGTCCATGAAGATAAAAACTGTACATAGGAAGGGAGGAAAATCCTATTGTGTGATCATGCCATTGCTGGATAACTTTCCCCCAGGTGTCTTCTTATGTGAGACCAATAACAGTTAAGCACAGTCCAACTGAATATACTCTTCTTAAGGCAAGAGTGTTTTGCTTAGAAAAGAAATGTTAATAGAACAAAATAAATATTGTCAGAAAAAAATAAATAGATTAAAAAAAAAAAAGCATATCTGCGTCTCTTTAAAGGATAATTCCCCCGTCGCCACTCAGGAATCTGGTGTTTGTTCTAGCACTTCTGCTTGGCTTCCCTATGGAATTTAGTCACCTGATTTTATGCTACAAGATTGTTTACTAATATGCCTATTAGCTAGAGGAAAGAAAATTAATATACCCTGAAACCACCTTGTTACTAACCAACAAACACACTGTATCATATGCCCAAGACTATGCTCAGGTCGATGATTTTCTAAAAGGATTTACAAGTCTAAGCATATAGTCCTAGTTTTGACTATGTTAACTAAACTGAAATGATAAAGAGCAGGACTAGAAAAGGGGAAAAGTTTCATGGAGTGAAGATTGGAGGACACTAGGCACACGCTTTAAGAGTCTTCTCCCTATAGGGCCCTTACCCTAGCCCTAGAAGGAGGGTGGGCTCAGAGTGGGAACTAGAGCAGGGCGTTACAGATATGTGCAGGACTGGGTCCTGTCAGGTCTAGTGAAAGCATCTCAGAAGAATTCTTATCAGTCTTGAATAATACAGGATCTTGTCTTGGCACTTTCTGGAACTAATTACAAAACTTGCAAATGTTGATATGAGTTAACATGCAATCGTTAGTATTTTGTACAAAAACATTAATCATCATGGTGTCAGAGATAGATGAATGGCAGAGGCCAACTGGGCACTCTAATGACCATTAACCAATTAACATAAATAATCACTTTCCCTTCTAGAGGATCAACCTCCCTCTGAGGTGGTTATTACTTAAGAAGAGGCTGGAGATGCTAAACACTGAACAGACATTTTTAATATCAAGTGACAAACAAGGGAGTGGAAGTCAATGATCAGAACAGGCAAATGAAGTCTGGATGCTGATGTGACACTGAGATCCAGCAGGCCAAAGAACAGATGAGATTTTTTCCATTATAGTTTAGCTATAAAGAGTGCTCTTGCTTATTGTAAACATGAAAGCCTAATATTTATACTGCCATTTTAAGACATTACATGAAAATCAAGATTAAATGAATTTATATATCAAATGACAAGTAACTTATGCTCACCAAGAGTTACCAATCATGCCTTCCCCCCAAATTCACTTTTCACCTTGGATTAGTATCTGTGGATGTGTGGGGAGAATAACTGTTCAATTCAGTTTTATGATGAGATAGAAGATGCCTATGGAGAAATTAAAAAGAAAACTGATGGTGCATTTTAGTGGTTTGGTTCAAAAGAGGATAAAAATGCTTATGTTAATGAAAAGGGGTGATTGTTATAATTATTTATGTTAAATATTTAAATTCTCAAAATTTTTATTTAGTCATTTTGAACTGGTGTTATCAGAATTTGGTAATTTTATACTCTCTAATTAATTCTATACTCTCTAATTTTCTACAGGCGTGGCTATTTAACCTTGATGAAAACATTACTTTTTCTAGGTATAAGGACTTTGAGAAATCACCATGTTCAATAGTAACTTCCATGAATTTCATCATTTCTGTGGTAACTGAAAGAGAAAGTTAAAATCAAAGACAATAAAGTTGCATTCTTCCTATTCTAGAATTGAAGAATACTTCAAAATGAAAGAAAAATGTAATTTAATCACTCAGAAATGTCTTGGGTCCCACTATGTGCCACATAATGCAAATATAGCAGAGATATTGCAACAAAAACACGAAGCCAAAGTCTGTTTTCTTGGAACGTACATACTGATGATCACTGCGATATGAACTACTTATTGGAGGACTGCTCAAGAGTAAACAGCAAGCAGCTAGACAAGACACTTGAGCCCAAAGGGACATACCTTCCGGGTCACTTCTACTTTGGCAAAGCAAAGCATCTTTTCATAAAAATCTTTAGATGCCTAAAAAATCTTTAGTGAAAATGTGAACATCATATTTTGAAATGTGAAAAACCCTGGTCATTTTTACATTCTTGATTCACAACCATCATTTCTAGGAAAGATCAAGCCCACATTAAGGCAGTTATGAAGACGGAAGTAATTTCTCTATCCACTTCAAACAGTGGGATGGTAACCTGAAAAAAAAATAAAAAAAATAAGGGGACCTGGTGAATGATTTCACAGTGGTCTTTCAGAGATGTAGGCAACTGGCTTTCAGATCCTTGCTGAAGTAGTTTCTGCAAGCAGCCCTTGCCTGCACGCATTCCATTCATTTCCTCGAAAGGGTGAGAATAGCAGTCTGCACATTCTGTTGGTGAGCAAATACTAGGAGCATATGCAGGAGCGGCTGCCTGTGTGCTCAGCCAGGCAGCCGGGCTGCAAGGCTGCTGGAGGATGGCTGTGTTCCCATCTGCCTTCGCCTACGTGGAGCAATAATGGCCCTGTTTACTGGCGCCGCTCCAGGCCCCTCCACAGCCCTACATTACTGAAATTAGGTTGAGTGGATTTCCGAGTAAAACATTACCTCTTGGGACCTGCCCAGCTCTCCCCAGCCTTGTCAACATTGATTAAAAAGAAGCTGCTGTCATCTTGGGGACATGCCCACAATTACTCTACCAATCACCACTGTGGGATGGGGGTGTGTTTCTTTTTCCTTTTTATTTTCATCTTCTTGATTGTTAAGCATCATCACCTCAACAGCTCAAATGAAAGTACTTTCAAAAATTCACGTGTCACTTCTTGAGCTGTGTGCCAGATATCAATCCGAAGCCTAGACTATGGCTCGTAGGAGTCACGGGATCCACATTTTACTCTCTTCATTGCCATGCTTTATATTTTAAGTTTCTGCCAAAGCATTGAGTAAGTGTACTCCATTTTTGATATCAACAGCATTACAAGTCTTTTGTAATTACAACTATCACTGATGCTCCCACCCCTTGCACTCTGGCCTTTTTGAAAAAGAAAAGAATAACTCTAATCTTTCTAACTTAACTTACTTGAGGTTTTCAAAGAGTAACAAAAAGGAGTTTAATCAAGGAGAAAACTCAAAGGCAGAAGGGCTGGATCTCAGTGATAATTGAAGCAGACCACACCCATCTACTTGTCTCAAAGTTTAGACCTAGAACCAAGCTGAATTTTATTCTATCCTTGACTGTCAGCCATTCATATGACCTCAAAGCAACTATTGTTCCCAGTTTTGTGATAAGTTTCCTTTTTTAAAATATTTATTTTTATTCATTTATGCATTCAAGAACTGGGGTGTAGGCCACAGATGTGGGGGGATGAGAAGATTCACCAGAGACAGATGGGGAGCAGAACAGGCAGCTCTACTGAAACACACTGCTTGGGGGAGCAGCAGGAGATGGGAGAGGTCTGCTGTGCCATGTGGGTCAGCTCCCTGGCCAGGGATGGAACTCATGCCACTGCTAGCAATATCTTGATAGCGCTGAGACTAAGCCCTCTGCCCCGCCTCAGTTTCTGAATCTATGAAAATATGAATGATAACGCCTGCCTAGCATATTGCAAGTTGTCTGGAGACTGAAGGAAGGTATTTGAAGCACATTATAAAATTTCAAGTTCAGAATGTAGAACGTCAAGATCGTAATCCCAACCTGTTGGATTTGATTTGAAACCTTCGATAGTATTTAATATTCTCATCCCAAGAGGGATGAGAGTTCCAATGGAATTCTAAAAATCTTTCAGTTTTCCAATGGAAAACTAAAAATCTTATTTGCAGATAGACAATTAAGGAATTTCTCTCTTAGGATGCTCCTGTAAAGTTTCTGACTCTGATTAAAAGATAAAGTTATAAGTGAGTTATTAATAAGAGTTCCTCAAGTTAGGGAACTTGAAAATGAATCTAGGATGTCTTAACACTTTAGCCGAGATGTTAAGTTTGTTTTCCTCTTACTTACAGGATTACGTATAGATGCATATATTTAATTATGTATATGCACACTTACATTTTGTGTATCTATACACACATATATTTTATATATATAAATATAAATAAGTATACATCTAAAAGTTCAAAATCACATCTCACAGGAAGTCAACTCTACATTTCCCTTTTCCCTTCATAATATGCCAAGAAAGGAGAACCCAGCTAGGAGAACATTTCAGGGGTACTCTCTATTGATAAATTTCACAAATTCAGTTGTCTAAGGGACCAGACACATAATGTTAATGCGAAAATGTGACCATAGGTAAACCCAGTGGGGAGATCTATGGGGAACAGCGAAGAGCAGGTCTAGCCCAAAGGCATTCATACAAATAAAGCACTCTCATTGGAA